GAAGAGCGTGGATCTCAAGCTGGCAGTGCGTAGTAAAGAATGCTGCAGTCTTCATTTGAATCTTAGAGAGGATGAATTCGCTCTTCCCTGTTGCTTTAAAGAATAGTTTGGCTTTTTAGCCTTGTCATACCATTAAACTTGTGAAGATTCTTGCTCTGCTTAAACCACTGCATGAATCTGAAAATTAATTTTTAACCTAATTAACCCATTATATGCCAATTGTCATAGCTACATTTGAGTTGCATTTAGTTCCAGATTATGTTTAAACATTTTTTTAGGTGGGGAAGCTTAAGTCTTTTATTCATAATATGGGTAGAAAAATGCTCTGAACTATTACCAGCCATTTCTGCAAGGGCATAGGCAGAAACATGGTATGTGAGAGACTTCATTATAAGCGTCCGTTCAGAGTTCAGTTACTGTTGACACTGTTGAAGTGACGCTGCTGTTTCGTTGAAAGCAAATTATGGCTGAGAGTCATGGACAGAACTGTTAGCAGGGTCAAATACTGCTTGTAAATAAAGAAAGTTTTTAGTTGATTTAAAATGAGAACTTAGGCTAGTCAGCTTCACAGATATTTTGGCTAACAAAATGAAAATTCCCTTTTTTAAATGTGTTGGTTTTAGTCAGTTGACGCTTGCAACTTGATAATTCCACATTGAATTATGGAAATCTTAATGGCCCAAGATGAGCAGTATTGAGGCTTTCAATTCCAGTGCTAACTGAATCTGGCCTTTGTCAGATTGCTTTTATTTTAGCCTTTTCTGGCTGCGTAGAAAGTAATAGTGATAATCTTACTGAGCTTTGAGCTGTTGCAAAGACAAATAAGTAAATAGTCCTAGCTTTCTGTCTGCTAGTTGTATAGAGTGCTGCTCAGTGGGTCCTGAAATGAAGTAGGCAACAGGCATGCCTGAATGAAAAGAATCTGTGCCAATATTTATAATTCTCATAAATGACAAATGAAATAATTTTTTGAGGAGCAAATATTATTGCAACTCTTTTGGTTATAAAATCCTAAGAAGCTTTTCCTTTAGCAAAAGAGAACATCCAGTTTAGTGACTTCTTGTTGTTGTTTTTAAAAAGAAATAATGAATATAGAGTTGTTCTTAAAACTAACAATTACCAAGAAAAGAGGTTTTCATCACCAGAGACCCAAGGCACTAAGCAGCTTTATAAAACAATGCTTAAAATAGGTTCAGAGTGCATTGTAGTAACACAGTGCTCGTAGTTGCCTATGGATTTAATTGATGGTTTTATTTTGACGTAACATCTCTTTATTCTTTTCTGACTTCTGTGTATGTTAATATTTTTTTCCACAGCTGGAGAATGGTGCATCCTGGCATAACCCAGAGCCCCCAGAGAATATAGGAACAGAGAAGGATCGAGCAAATTGTCCATTCTATATTAAAACAGGTTCCTGCCGATTTGGAGACAGGTAATCAATTGAATATTTACCAGCATATAAGTGTTTTGGAGAAATGGAAGGGAAGTAACTTCATTAGGTCATATGCAAACTGAAGAAAAATTGCTATATAAATTACTTTTGTGTATTTGGATGCGGTTCTGTTATTCATGATGGAACTAGACATTGAGAGCAGAAGCGTTGCCTGGCTGGAATTGAGCTATTTATTGTTATGGCATATTATTACCGGTGCATTCTGGTTACATTGGTCAAACTGACTTTTCCTTAGCTCTGACAGATGCACAGATACAGTCAGCCAGAACAGGTTTGATTTCTGCTATTAGTACAGGCCTGATTTGTCAGATGTTGTCTTTTGTCTAATTTACATATGCTGCATCTTTTGAAAAATAAATCTCAACTGGATTAAAGCAAGTTAAGGTACATCTGCACAGTTGAGAAAGCTGCTGTGTAGCTTCTGGAATTCTCTTGTTTGTGGACTGTTTAAATGTGTGATACAGTCTGTCTTGATTTTTTTTTTTAATACACTTATGGGTGCCCTATTTCAGAAAGTAATAGTAGTAAAAGGCAAAAAGAGCAAAGGACAAGATGAGGAACAGCTTCTGTAGGAGGAATGGCTGAATAGTCTAGACTCTGCATTCAAAGAGATGATGGAAGAGGGCTGTGGTAGATAAACATTGAACTCGTGCGTAGGATGGGAAGCATTATTTGCTTTTATTATGAAATAGTTTAATTAGGTGTCCTTAAGTGTTTACCAGCTTTAAAAAAAAAAAAGTACTTTCTCATATGCAACAAATAGCAAGACTTGTTACCAAAGGACATAGAGGAAGCCAAAGGTATAAATGGGTTCATGGAGTACAGGTTCATTGGTGACCATTAAAGATGATGACTAAAATGCATTATCTGGCTGGAAAATTCCTGATATTTTTTTGTGTGTGTTAAGGAGGAAAAATAGCTCAGCAGGGAAAGACTTATTACATGAATCTTCAGCATAAACTAGTAAGCCTGTTTTTCTAACTTGTATCACTGAAACATGTATGGTCCATCTATTGTAGTTTTCTTTGCACTACAATTCATTTTGGCGTGGTGTATATTGTGGATAATTCTGTGATAATTCATCTTTATGAAAGCTTCAAGTCCACATCTTATTTCTATTTTGAAATAGGTGTTGAATTCCTAAATAAAACTTTGGCCAGCTAGTTCATTGCAGGCAGCATATTTGCTTTTCAGATACTCAGTTCTTTGTAATCTTCATAGTATTTTTGTTTCAGTGGTATTTAATGGGAGTGACCTCCTTGGATTAATTATAGATAGGATGAAATTCAGTTTTGCTTTGAACTGTGAATAGGCTTGGTAAATAAATATTCTGTGTGTCTTCTCTCATCTGTAGCTGTTGATCTGAGCTACCTCTCCTTTGTCTTCTTTCCTCCTCCTCACATATCTGCTTCCTTCATGTTCTGGTCATTTTAACCTCTGGTGTTGACTGTAACTTGAAGAACTGAGACACATCCTTATCAGCTAGGATAAGGGCTGGAAGAATTGGTTGGAAGCTGAAATGAACCACAGTGGGGAAAAATTGTAAGCCAATGTTATCAACAAAACAGTTGCTGAATCTTATCAAAGCTCAACTATATCTGGAAGAAGCTCAGACTGTCAGAGTTCACCGTTATGGGTTTCCCCAGTAATTCAAGCCCTAATATTTTGTAGTAATACTGGAATTTTGAGCAATTCATTTTCCTTGGGATTTTTTTTGTTCTGTCATGTGCTAGATTCATTTTGTGTACAGACAGTATTGGTTGAGTATAATATTTTGAGTTCTGTCATTCAAACAGAACAGTGAAGTGAGGCAGCTTCTAAAATGTAAAAAAAAAAAATAACAATTCAAATTAATTTTCTCTGGGTCTAGTTTTGGTTTTGGAGCTTTGGGGGTTTTTGTTGGGGTTTTGTGTTGTTTTTTCAAGTCTAAGGTGCCAACCAGAAAGTGAGAGTAAATTTCTGACTGACTGGATGGGGAAAGAAACTTCCTATCTGAAATCTGGGTTGTAATTGCCCATTTTGAGACCTGACCTCCCTCCAATTTGTCTGTGCTTTGCCAGTACTAGATAAAGAGAGTAGACAAGTCTGACGATTTTTCTGATCATGTCATGAAAAGGAGAAATGTGTTGGAGAGTGCATGACCCAGTTGCTCAGGGAAGTGTTTGAAATGGATCATAAAGCACAGTGAAATAAACACGGAGGTTAACATCTGTGTTCTCACTGGATATCAAGGTTTGTGGGGAAGAACTGAACTGCCTGAATATCATGGATTGTGGGGGAGATCTAATGCTTTTATGGCTGACAATAAGATGCAGAATAAGATATGACTTAAGTATAAGAAGCATTTTTTTTTTTAAGTGGAAAAATACCAATGTCTTTCTCATCCGATGTCAGGTCCAACCATGTTTTCCCTCCCTCCCCACTTCCCTGTACAATGAGAACAACTTCAGTAAAAGTTGTTAAGTTTGCAAAAAGTAGAGCAGGGACTTTCTTTAAAATATCTTCAAAGATTGCCAGTAGTCTTTCTCTAAAGCCCTTCAGAAATGGAGAATTAAAAGCCTGAAAGAAATTACTTTAGTTCTTACTGTGTTATGGGTATCTATAGTTTTTGCAGATGTGCCTATTTCAGCCATATATTTATGCATGGCAGAAAGCATTAAGATTATACGCAAACTCACTTCCAAAAGATTTGTTTTAATAATTGAAATATGTTGATCTTCCACTAATGGATTTTCTTTTGTAATAGCTGTTACTGAAACTGGCAAGTGTTTCAAGTTTCAACAAGTGCGTCTTATGCTGAAAGTGCTGATCTTTTCATTTTTCTTTCTCCACTACAAATGTCCAGGTGTTCTCGCAAGCATAACTATCCAACATCTAGTAAGACACTACTCGTCCGAGGGATGTTCATTACTTTTGGCATGGAGCAGTGCCGGAGGGATGACTACGACACGGACGCAAGTCTCGAGTACAGTGACGAGGAGACCTACCAGCAGTTCCTGGAGTTCTACGAGGACGTGCTCCCCGAGTTTCAGAATGTGGGGAAGGTTGTTCAGTTCAAGGTATGCAGCTGAACGTAATAGCTTGTTAAATAGGTAACATATACCACGTGAGTTGTGTATTGCGACCCTTAACAGGAGGTCTGTCCAGCATGCCCTAGCTAAATCCCATGTGCATTAGAGAACTGTACAGTGTCCTTACAGCAAACTGTGTATTCCTCATGTCACCTGTGAACTTTCACTGCTGTTACAGAGCACTGTCTTGCTCTCTCCCATTCCTCTGAACTCTTAAAAAAGCTTGTGCTTTTATATTCCAAGCTATTCATAGTGCTCAACAGTCCACTTACCTCACAGTCCCTTCTTTGTTTAGCCCACGATAAGCCTCAGAGGGTCCACTAAGACAGTTAGACAGTATATCTTGGCTACTGTATTTGTGTCTAAGGAATTAAATAGTGGGGGTATGAAATGTATTTGGAGTATGCACCCAAACATTGTCATTTGATTTTGTTTTATCCAACCTGTCCTAAAATGACATTGACCTGAAAAGGTAGGAGAAATTTCAGTAGGACAAATTGTAAAAAAGTTACATAAGTGGAGTTGAGATTTGTCATCCATCCTTAGTTTCTTCATTTGGTTTCTTGAATTTCTTTCCTGAACTTTTCCCATTTATATTATGGTTTCTTAAGGGGGAAAGAGAGGGACCTGTAAATGGAGACCCTGAGATGAATGATGTGTGTTAACAGTCCCATGTTGCCCCAAAATATGCAGCTTGAATGACAAAATCTCCTTATAGCAGAAGCTACTGCAGCATCCCTTTCTGCTTGCCATTCCTAAGTGTTTTCCTGCAGTCACCAGGAGGCATGCAGTGCCTTTTCTCCTTTTGTTTCCATCTACTGACAGCTGCCTCAGAGCTGAGATTGTATTAGCATTTCAAGCAAGAGGAAAGTGGAAGAAGTGAATTTTCAGTAGTTGTATAATGAGCTTTATAGGTAATAAACCTTCTCTTGTTTGGAGGAGTATCCCCATCATCCATATTTTGACTGAATGAGGTATTAGCAAGCTGTGCTGCATCCTGGAAGACGGGATGTAGACTCCCAATGGAGCGGGGGTTGAAATGCTGCCTTACCATAAAACTCGGATCCGTGACTTTGTATTGTTGTTAGATGCAGCCGTGCTAAGTTGCACGTCCTTGGGTCCTAGTAACAGGGTAAGAGCTTTCAGTGTGGCATTTCTTGGCTTCTGAGGTAATTATGCAACTGCAAGATGATTCTCATGGTGCATTTTCATTGTATTAGATATGCTTAGAAATGACGTGTTGGCTGCAGGGATCTTAGCTGTGAGTGAGTCTCTGCTACCGTTTAGAATCAGATTACCTGCATTGCTTTTCCAGCTGGCTTCGCTTTCCAGTGTAGCACAAGGTTTTATTCTTGCTGTTCTTTCTGGGAAGCTACTCCAGGATTCAGCAGATCCATATAAAACACACTCCTTTTCCCACCCAGAAGTGTCCATGACAAAATCACTCATGCTTGTTCTTGTGTTGACATGGTTTATCTCAAATAGTTTGACTGCTTATTCTGTAATATGTAATCATACAACTGCTTGTTGTTGTGTCTGAAGCCCCTGCCCTAACCTAGTGCGCAGAGAGGTATTCTCTGAGGGCCAGTCAGGGTTCAGTGATAAAAGGACCCTCATATGGGACAGGTAACCGAAGAGGCCTGGGGGCAAAAGAGGCTGGGCTCACAGTTCTGCCCTGGAAAACTGGGTTCTAGCCTACTTGGGCCTGCCCTTTTCAGAATCCTTTGTAACTAGCAACAAGCTTTACGGAAATTCAGCTGTGTATTTTGAGAGCTTTAGACATACTTTAAATGCTAAATTATTATGAAAAAACAGTGGAAGCTAGTGACTTCAGCGTTTCTAACTCATCTCACAGGGATGCTGTGAAGCAGAGTTGCTCTAAAGATCCTCTTACCATAATGAATCCCACATTTCTACATGAGCATACTACTAATCATAGCGTTGACCCAGACAAGTGTGAGACATCTGAGTACAAGCTGTCTTGTGGACTAAGTGAAGCAGAGGTCCCAGTGTTAATCAAAGCATAATCCTGTGACAGTCAAACATAAGCGAGAAGGGCTTCTTTCCCACCCACCACCACCCCCCCCAAAAAAAACCCTTTTCTGAACTAAGTGTTCAGAAGAAAATCACACGTAAGTTCATATTGATGAGCTGTTATAAATCAGAATGGCCACCATCTCAACGTGCGTGAGCTGCTGTATAGCATAAACCTTGCGTTGTACTAACTTAATGTTTCTGAGCCCTTAGGTCAGTTGCAACTATGAGCCTCACCTGCGAGGAAATGTGTATGTCCAGTATCAGACGTAAGTACTCGCAATCTTACTGAGTTTTAGAGCTGTAAGCAATGTTTGTATAATCCAAGTGATTCATTCTCGTACTGTAATAGGAGCTTAAAATTGGTCAGTAACATCTGAAGTGACTGTGGGATGATAACACTATGTGTGATTGTTACTTTTTACAGGGAGAAGGACTGCCAGGCAGCTCTTGCTCTCTTCAGTGGACGATGGTATGCAGGCCGACAGCTTCATTGTGAGTTTTGTCCTGTGACAAGGTGGAAAACTGCTATATGCGGTGAGTCATGTAAGCACTTGGAAAAGAGAATGTGTTTTACTGAAAGAGTACTTATGGAAGAGAAAAAGAGGGAAATTGCCTTTAGCTTTCAGATCTGCCTAATGTTGCAGTTCATTTCTGTTTGCAAGACAAATGTGTTAACTTGCTTGTATGGATCTAGGAAAGAAAGGGAATATTCATACCATGTCACATAAGTGTCTGAATCATTCTAATGGATTTACATTGGACTGGAAAAGCTTTGGGAATAATAATCTTAAGGTGGAACTACAGGAAGTAATGATTTCTCTCTTTAGAAAGCAACAGCAGTTTCTGAACCATCAGCAGTTCTTAGCAGTAACTGTCCCATCTGACTTTCCTATATTTACATTCTAAGGCAGTAAAATTATTTATGAAAATAAATACGCAGCTAAAAGCTCCGTAGCTGTTAAAAAGTTAATTCACAAAAAAAGTACATATTGAAAAATAATCTCGTGTGGTTTAAATTGATAGGCGGTCAGATGCATGCAATTTTGTTTGAAGAAGCAAAATTCAGTTTAAAAGTTCCTTTCCAGTAGGTACATAATGAAGAAAGAGATTTAACAGGTCTGGTTCATAAAAAAGCAAACCCTAATCTGTTGCAGGCTTATTTGAAAGGCAGAAGTGTCCAAGAGGGAAACACTGCAACTTTCTTCATGTATTCAAAAATCCAAACAATGAGTTTTGGGAGGCCAATAGAGACATACGTCTTTCTCCTGAACGGACTAGTCTGTCTAAAAACTCTGAAAGGAGAAACAGAACGAGCCATCGTGATGACTATTACAGCCGCTCAAGGAGAAGGGGCAGCCCAAGCCCTGACCATTCTTACCGCAGAAATGGAGAATCTGAGAGGAAAAAGAATCGCCGCAAAAACAAGAGAAGGCGCCGGTCTGGGAGGTCGAGAAGTCGAGAAAGGAGGAGGTCTCACAGCAGGGGGAGGAAGAGGAGAGGCCGCAGCCGCAGCAGAAGTCATAGTCGAACACGCAGCAGGAGCAGAAGCCGGAGTTCCTCTCGATCCAGGAGCAGGGGTAAAAAGAGATCGAGCAGCAGAGGAAAAAATAGTGAGACTCCCAAAACAAAGTGAGAATTACTTTTAGAAGTTGCTAATTGATCAAACGTAGACCTGACAAAGAAACCTTTCCAATAGGGCACGAGATATATTTGAGTTTCAAATAAAGTGTTCTTGCACATTAAAATGTTTCTTCCTAATAAAGGAACCTAGTTTATTGTGTGCTAAGCTTCAGAAAATTAAAAGTTTAAGTCCTCTATAAGGTGTGAATGTCAAGTACTCTAGCTACTCTGTCCCTCTGAAGTGCTGCAACATCTGGATGCATACCGAGTACAAACAGAAAGAGAAGTAAAGCTTATTTGGTATATGCTTTTTTCTGTGTTACGTGTGTGTTAAGTGTTTGCTGTCCCTGTAAGGAGTTAGTACAGAACAGCCAGCGTGCTGTAAGTTCACACCCCGGCATACTGCAAATTGAAGTCTGTGTGTAAGACTGCCGTTTATATTTTCTGTCTGTTTATGGGAAATCTTTTTCTAGACAAAGTAAATATAATCATGTTATGAGTTGGAGAAAAGGGATCTAAAAGACATCACTGTTTGACTGTACAACAGTTGCCCTGTAGGAGCTTTGTGGTCATAAGTGTTGGATTTGTCTTTCTCCCCTGACTGAGCTGCTGAGCTAATTGCCTGTAGGGCTTGCAGTGGACTAAAACCAAGTAGAAAGTACACAGAAAAACAATCAATTTATTCAGTACCTTAATCCTTGAGTGAGAGTTGGAGACCATGCACTTGTAATCCTTGAGTAAGGATAGAAAATACTTCGCATACTGCTCGGTTGCAATATCATTTGTAGTTGAAAACACCCTGCCTAACCTGTGATGGAGTGGTGCAGCTGTGTACCTCTGGTAACCGAGGATTCATATATGTAGTTGTGAAGGCTTAAGATGGGACCTGAAGGTTTGATACCTGAAGTAATGCTTTAGTTTTTTTGGAGAGGAGGACTTGACTTAAAGCCTTTCTAGGCTTATTTTACCATCAGCCTAAGGCAACCTATTGCCTGGCTTCCCTAGGGTCAAGGTAGAGAGCAGGGTACATAAAAATGAAGTTAACAGGACAAAACCTTTCTGAAATGACAGCTGTATTATCAAAGTACCTGCAATTAGGTAAATCCTTACAAATATTTTCTCACTTTTAAATGAAGGATTTGTGCTGTTGCGTGGACTGCACTTCACACTGCCTAATTTCAGGTATTTAACTTGGACATGTAGGTGTCCTTCGATGCTTGGGGAGAGCAGTTAGTGGCACTGATGGTGCAGGTGCCCTGAATGGTCTGCAGAGACAGGCACCTCCCTCTCTTTAGCCTCTCCAAAGAACTTGGGCTCCTGCCTTTAGAATACAGTCCAGACCACCTAAGTTAGAAACCTAACACCAAGTGCTCCCAAATAGATACTCGTTATGACTCCAACAATACTGCATAAATTTGTGTTGACAATCTGGATATCCAAACTTTTTGATAGCATTCCTCACAGCAAGAACGTTTTTTCCCCCCAGGATGTTTAAGAGTGAATGAACATTGCTTCTGGATATAATATATGTATTTTTGCTTTTCTAAATGCATACTGCACCCAGCATGCTGATTATACATTTTCCTTCTTTCATGTGTAACTGTGGTCCGATATGGAGTAATACAGCAAAAGTGCTTATATATTGATATTCAGTTCAAACCAGACTTTCACTATATATTGTCATAACTGTAGGCAAAATTGTAGCTTAGTTAATTTGATTAAATGTTTTAGTTATTAACAGATGTAGGAATTGTAATTTAACAGCATAACTTTTGAAGTAATGACTTTATTTTAAAGGCGTTTTTCCAAGGATAGACAGCACTAAGTTTTAAACTATATTTGAGAAATTTGTGACCGCCAGTTTCTCATAATGTATTTTTTCTGACTAGACTTTACAGACAGATTTCCCCGAGGTTTCTATTTTTTCATAGATGCTCAGTTCTCTAGCTGGGTCACTTGTGCAGATGTGGCACACTGGTTCAGTTCCCTGGAGCAGAACTGAGCTGGCATTTCCTACGTGCTGAGACGCAGCACCAGCAGGCCCGAGACATCTTCCTTCCACAGACGCTGGTGTGTGTCCCACGCCTCCTGCTGCTGACCTTGCCTGCTGGTCAAGGCTCTCGGGTGGTTGGAAGAGTTGACTGATGCCACTTCTGGTACCTTGCACGTCCTGTGTCAGGTGGCAGGCTGTCGCTGAGCATTATCTGAGCGAACACAGTCGTGGAGCTGAAACAGAAGTAGTGGAATGGGTGGTGGGAGCCTGTGAGCAGTCAGGTGAAGTAAGCAAAGCCGGTCTCTGTAGGATTAGAAACCATGTGGCAACTAAGGCCCATGTGAGAATTCCACAGATGATTAGGCCCTTGTCCCCGCAGTTTTGTAATGGGATCTGGGAAGCTGAGCTGCTGGTTTTTGTTTTTCTTAAAAAGTTCTTATAAATAAAAAAGATACTTTCTCAGAGATGCATGTAAAAATATAAGTATACTTTATTTCTGCTACTATAATGGCTGAAGCTTCAGCTCTTTTTCTTGAGGTCTGGACCTGAACTTACTGGCTGTACCTGTGCAGTGTAACCCCGGCAGCTGTAATTATCATTCACTTCCACATGCAGTCTGTTTATTACATGGAAATTGAGTGCTGTAGATCTGACATTTAGTTTGCATTTGTTAGCATGAAACCTGGAATTCAACCAGTTTTCTAACTTCAGAGTTCATATATTTCAGTATTGTTTCCCTACTTCATAATCTTAAGTAGTGTTATATGCATGGTTTTGTGTTTCTTTATTAGCCGAGTGACCTATTTATTCTGAAGAGACAAAGAGACTAGCAGTTTTTAAATGTTAAGCTTATTTTTTTCCAAAGGGGAAAAGGCCCAGAACACAGAAAGGATTTAAACTTGCAAGGAACAGCTTGTTCTCACTGCGTGTTAATCTGCATATTCTACATAAAAGGACCTTGTAAAGTGAATTAATACTGGGCAAGTTTTGTTTCATTTTGTTTTTCATAATTGCTTAAAAGCAGTGACTTTCCAAATTATTTTTTTTCAGTTGTGTATTCTGCAAGGATCACTGAGGTGCTTTAGAGTGATTATGAAAGCAGGCATTTACACAGAGCTGCAAGAAGTTGGTTAGGGCAGCAGTGGGACTCCTTCCACAGCAGGGACTGAGTAGGTGCTGCCTCTGCCCTTCTTCCACTGAAGGAGAAACACAGCCTTTTCCCTGTGGCAGGAGGAGAATAAGGACAGTGTGGTGGCACTCAGGTGGGACACAGGCAGTGTTACTGCCCAGCAGTGCAGAGGCACTGGGCTTGTGCCCTCAAGTTCTGGCTGGCAGCTGCTGTGATTGCCCTTTCTGCCCATCCAGAGCAGCTCACCACCACCACAGCAGGGTGTCCACCTGCTGCATGCCAGGCCTGCCTTCATTCCTTGTGGAGGGAGAACAGGCACAGGTGCAAAGGCCTTCCTTCCCTTGTGCACAGTGCAGATGGTCTGATACACATCCTGAGGAACTTAGCTCCAGGTCCTCTGATGTCTTTCTCAGATTCGGTTTTGCATTACCACATTCAGTGTATCAGAAATTGCCCTGAGGTTTACCAGTGACATTCCTGTGCACCAAGTAACAATTTTTTTTTCAACAGAAATGCAAGAGCCTGCTTAAAGATGCTATTGCTTCCTGTCCTGGATCAGTACTTCTTACAAAACATGAAAGTCCACGCTAGTTAATAACTTAAAAGCTTTCTTACATCATCTAAAGAATGCAGTTGATTTTGCTTTCACTGTAAGTTCATTGTAACTAAAATGAACCCCTCTTATTCCACATATTCTTCTATTCAGCACTCATGTATCAGCCCATTTCAGTATCTCTGATTTAGGGGGAAGAAAAAAAAAAAGGTAACATTGACAAGTTACACTCCAGAAAACTTCACAATGCGGTGACTCCAAAGCAAGCCGTACAAACATAACCCATGGCACACAGTAACTTAATAGAGGCAGCCACAGGGTGACCATCACCATGGCATTAACTCAAAAGGAACAGATGTTCAGGAAGGGCTCTTTGAGGTAAGGATTAAGGTTCAGTAATGAAGCTGAAGCCACTCAGGCCAACAATCACTTGCGTAAGCAATACAAAAATTCCAACTGATTCTTTAGCTCCCTCCTACCCCTTCCCCGTAAGAGGAAATTTAATAAATACACTTCTAGTTTGATGTTAGATTTCAGAAATCTATGCTTCTGCTTATGACAGCAACCAGTTCAGTTCTTGTAGAAAGCTGGAGAACAGATTAATCTGAGACATTTTTGGTTGAGACTGGGATTGTGACCACTGCACTGACTTGCTCATAATTCTATGTAAGGAACTGAACCCCTCTCAGTCAACATGTGGTTTGTTTTAATTTTCAAATGAAGTGGCACTACCACATCAATTTAACATCTACTTTAATAAATTTCATGTTTAATGTGGTAAGCCTTCCAAAAACTTGCTAACTTATTGCTTTCTGTACAGTTTAAATGGATGTAAATAACTAATCTTGGACACAGTATACTTGACATTTTTTAATAAAGTGCTCAAGAACAGGTTAAGCACTGTAATAAAGTTTCCCTTTTTTTTAAGCTAGCACTGAGTAGCTGCTTCTTTCCTCTGCAAAAAAAAAAACCAGAATTACATATAAACACACAGCAATGGTGTAAAAATGGACATTTATTACAACTAAACCAATGTGACAGACAGAGGTCAAACAGTTTATTTGTCACAATCACAACAAAGCTTAATCAGCCAAGCACATACAAGTGACAGTGTAAACTTCAAAAACATGTTTAATACATATAAAATTGCTTCAGGTTTGACTTAAGGTAATATGACCACTTCAATCTCGCACACAGGGTCATCCCGCTACCGCTTTAACCTCATCTATCCCTGCAGGTTGGTGTGCATGGCGCTAGAGCACATGGCTTTGGCCTGCCCTAGGTTAAATCAGGTACGGTTAAATCCCAGGGAGGGCTCAAGGAGACAAATTCTAACAGAGGCTCCACCTTGGCACTGCCACACGAGGGTGCAGACGCACCCCTGCCCCAGCTGGCCCTTCTGCTGCCACAAGCATTTATACTGCGATTTGAGTCTGGGGACTTGCAAGTGGCAACGCTGAGCTCACCCTGCTGGGTTCAATTGAACACAGATGGCATCAAGCCCACCCCCTCGCTTTCCAGAAGGCTGCGTAAACACTTGGGGCAGCAGTGCACAGCTGCTTCCAGCAACAACACCAAAGCCAAGTTTTGTCAAAATGTGGAGCTGCTACTTCAAGTAGGCCAAAAC